TAATCCTGATATAGAATGGTAGCAATTCATTATGACAGAAAATTTCGCGAATTAAAAATAAATTTTTCAACAAAATATTATATTAAACCTTGTTTTTATTTAATGCAATACTTTTTTATTTGATTATTCCGAGGATTATTCATCGTTCCTCTCTTGATTTCTAATTCTAATAATTCCATTTCTTCTTTATCACAACGTCTGATGTGTTAAAATATTTCATTTGAATGAGATACACGAATCTCAAGGTGAAGGAAGTTTGCTTTCGATTTATGGAACGCATACAATTTTTCTGAATCATCAAAGTTCACTTTTTGACAAAGACGACTTTTTGTAAAGATACTTTTCGACAACATGCACCTATGGAACCGGCTCTAAGTACTTTATAAGCTATTCATATAATGTGTTGCTATATGAGCGAACTAATGCACATACTAATACTTATTCTATTACAAATTCTCTGGAATACAATTGATATAATTATTGATATAACATTGGTACTTACATCACATTATATTATTATTGCGCCTAGTGGTTGTCACTATCAAGTATATGGATTGTTTCTATGAATCAGGTGATTTTATAATAATTAACCTCAAAGAATAATTGATTTATCACACTAAGAAACTTGACCAAGAGATACTTACCTACAATAAGAATTACGTGAGCAGAATGCAAAATAAAAACTGTTCATGCGTACCTATACTAGGATTTTATTCATGAGAAAGATTATAATATAATAAATGAAATTAATAACCATCAGCTTGACTCAATAGTTCTTTCTGCAACCGCCTTCGAAGTGATCCTTTCTAATAGCGAAATCGATCATCAGGGATGACGCTTCTGATAGTTCTGATATTACTTGGGTGTTTTTGAAAGTGAAGCAATAAATAAAATGAGTTGTTCGAATACACATAATGACACAATAAATGGAAAGAGAACTAAAATTTCCCATAGTATGAGTACGCGCTCTTGCGCTCTCGTTGTGTACTTCCGTCTTCCGCAGTGTAATGTACCAGAATCAATATATCCGATACATCCACCAAGCCTTGAAAGTCAAGCTAGGTTAGGTTGTTCAGGAGAAGTAGTCTCTCCTCTTACGCCGAAAGGATATTTTCCTTCGATATGTAATATCTAGTTTAGGTTAGATTATTTAGAAAAAGTAGTCTCCTTTCTTATGCCTGAAGGATATTCTTCTTCCTTACATTATGTATTAGATTGTTAGGGAAAAGTAGTCTCATTTTCTTATTCAGAATGGATATTTTTCTTCCTTATATTATCTATATATTAGGCCGAGTTAGTTTAGATTCTTTAGAATAAGTAGTCTCATGGAGAAGGGATATTTTTCTTCCTCATATTATACAGGGTATCCTAAAAATGTATAGATGTATTGGAATCACAGATTCAAGGAACAAAAATAGTAAAAGTATATAAAAAAATATGGATCCAGAAATAGCCCACTGGGGGATTATGGCCATCTGAAGGTGAGCTCGAGATGATAGTTTTTGTAAATATTTTCGAAACCCTCTGTGATGAAATAACCACATTTTGTGAATAGACTTTTTATGCCCCATTAGGAAATGTTGAGAATTTTCCGAGATTCGGATCAGAGGCTGGAGAAATGTGTGGGGCAAGGGGCACTTCTTTCCCCAACTTTTTTTTCAAAGCAATTGTTGGCAGATTGACCTGGAAATATCATGATTTTCAAAAATGATACTCTTTATCTTCATCTATCTGCTGCGTATAATAAAAATAGTACATTTCCTGAATAGGTTACCAACCATCACTCACCACTTTCGAGCGTTATAAAAATAGTACATTTTCTTAATAGGTTACCTACAAAATTATTAGACAATTCATTCTTTTTATTGTTTCCCCATATTTAAATTCAAACATCCCATGTAGAAAAGAGGTGTATTTTCCATAATATGATCTTTTCTACTATTTTTGTTCCTAGAATCTGTTGACATCTATCAATGTAATTTCGGGTCACCCAGGCCGAGTTAGCATCAGGTTAGATTGATTGGAAAAAGTAGTCTCCATTCTTTTGTGAAAATATTTTACTTCCAAATTCAGTGAATTTATAAGAATTAGATTAAACTTCTACTATTATAGTTTCCGACTTTGCGCGCAATCACAGCATACCTTTTAAAAGACGTGCGCAAAATTGCACCATGTTGCGAATACTGCAATAGTATTAGAGTGATTAGACCATTATTTGATCTACCAAGTAATGGGAATGAACAATCGATTAGAAATGTGATTTCAAATTTATTTCTGCTGAGCACTAATATCATTTTCCAAACAAATAATTTTTAACCCCCTTATACACCACACGCCTATTATAATTCTAGAATATATATTCACTATGCGAAATACTTCCTCTGCAATACATATACAATCATCACCAAATTTCATGAAGAGCGGGACATACTGTATGTTACTGTGTTGAATACAGAAGATGGGGCAAGTGACAGCTCCTATTATAAAGGGTGTTTCCGAAATAAGGGCAATAAATTCGATATGGGTTGAAACGAAACAACAAAAGGAATACATTTTTGTCCAAACAAAATATTTAGGAAGATATCGAAATTTTAAGTTTCACTGCAACTTTTGAGAATTACTCCCCAAAAGTGAACGGCCGAACATGAATGGGGTAATGGACTGTTTATGTAAGATGATAGTATCGTGAGTATTTCTCAAAATCGAGACCGAACTACCCTATATCAGAATCAGGTACAGGGTGATTCGCCATAAATGTCCCTCCCTCTAGCTCAGTTATTTTTGAACCGATTGCAAAATTTAAAATATAATCTAAAATGATTTTTGAAACAGTTTTTTTCCACTACATCAGAAAATACAAGGTGCTCGGAACAAACGATCTACGGGACACTTTTTGATTTTTTTTAATGGAACACCCTATTTTTCGTTGTATTTTTAGATTCTCCCTGAAGACCTGATTTCATCAATGCATCACACTTGGGGTTCAGCGATAATGATTACAGAGATATTGGGTGTTCGAAATCGAGATTTTTCAACTTTAGGATTTTTCTGTGACGAAACTATTCATTATCGGTCAAAACGGCTTCCATGTCCGTATCTCACTTTTTGATTCACTATCTACTGACATTTAATAATTGGAACAGATACAGGGTGATCAGAATTCTGAATCTTGAATCACACTGTATTGTATATGTTCTAATTGAATGTCAGTAGATACTAAATCAAAAGTTGAGATAGGGACATGAAAGCAGTTTTGACCAATGATGAATAGTTTCGACACAGAAAAATCCTAAAGTTGAAAAATTTCGATTTGAACACCCTATATCTCTGTAATCATTCCCGCTAGACCCCAAGTGTGATGTATTCATGAAATCAGCTCTTCTGAGAGAATATAAAAATACAATGAAATACAGGGTGTTCCATTTGAAAAAATCAAGTATAGTACTGTATAGAACGTTTCGTTCGAGCACCCTGTATTTTTTGATGCAACGGGAATTTTTTTTCTGAAAAATCATTCTAGATGATTTTTCAAATTTTTGAATCGGTTCAAAAATAAGTGAGCTAGAGGGGGGGACATTTATGGTGAATCATCCTGTACCTAGTGATTCTCGATGTTTCCGAACATTGTAAACAAAAAATACCAAGCAGTTCGATGTTAATGTTTTCGCACGAGATACACAACCTGTCGAAAAATCAACAGGGACTAATTGGTCCCAGAATAGACAGTTCTGGTTCCGGTTCCATCCACAAGTTCTTTTTGTTGTAAATCCAAATCGAAACACCCTATTTTTATTCGTGATTTCCGAGGTGATTTCTGTATTTAGTCTTTAACCAATAACCGATGAGAATTTACAAAATGTCATTATAGGAGAATTCCAGATCTTGGGGTAGTACCTATCTGCCTAAGAATTTGTTAATTTAATCTACTTGCCTCAATACTCATGTTGCGCGCAATCACGCAGCATCCCTCTTGAGGCCAATTTCAGTACCCCCCATTCGGGGTACTGAAATTGAGAATTTACCCATTCTATACAAGGTGTTCTGAAATTAGCCTGCCAAACTTCACCAGTGGTTTTTACTACCAAAAATAGAAAGAAAACTGTCAATGAACATGAGTCGAGAAATGTCTCCTGTGGGAGCTATAGCCTCCTGAAACGGGGCTCCTGAAGATGATATTTCTTGAGTATTTCCGAAACTCTATGTGATAAAAAGATGCAATTTGGTACAAGAACAAAGCTTTCCATGCCCAATGCAGTGAAAATTAAATCATTTAAAAATTTCCATCAGGAGTGTATAAAACAGGGTGGGACCCTGTCTACTGTCTAGTATTCAAAGAATGAATATTTCCATTTTTCAAAAATCCATCTTGGTTAGCAAATGCATATGCACATAATTCTAATATGTATAAACCAGGTAATGTCAATATTGAGAATTTTCGAAAAATGTCTCTACAGCTTGTAGTACGAGACACACCAGCAATGATTCTGATTAATTTCTTCTGGGCGATGAATACATCTTTGGATGAAGAAGATCCTCCCCATATGACAACCCCATAACGTAAGCGTGACTCGACTTGAGCATGATACCGTATCGGGCATGGAAAGTTTAGTTTTTGTACCAATATGCATCATTTTATCATGTAATTTCGGAAATATTCAAGAAATATCATCTTCAGGAGCTCCCTTTCAGGAGGCCGTAGCTCCCTCAGGAGACATTTCTCGACTCATGTTCATTCATTCATTTTCCTTCTATTTTTGGTCGAAGAAGCCACTGGTGAAGTTTGGCAGGCTAATTTCGGGACACCCTGTATACTTATTCGTTAAGTTTCTATACGAAGAATTATTGATCATTGATTATTACTCTTGAAAAAATATACCTGTGAATAACATAACTATGCCATCCATATTTACGTACCTATAATGAGGTTAATTATATTAATAGACTTCCTAATTGAAACTATTCACCCATATTTATATAAAATTGCGAAAAATATTGCCATTAATAATTTGCAACTATTACGGGAAGATTCTATCAACTCGATGCATAAATTTAGTGTATTTATTGTTGCGTGTCTGATTGCTTTCGCAATTGGAGAGAAATATACAACTAAATATGATAACATTGATATAGATGAAATATTGAAAAGTGAAAGGCTGCTGAAAAATTATGTTGATTGTCTGATGGACAGAGGGAATTGTACCCCTGATGGCAAAGAGCTCAAAGGTAAGTGAAGAATTACAATGTCTCACCCACATTTAATACATAAAATAAATATAAAAAATTTCTGCATATGACATTTAATACTGTCGTCTCATTCATTTTCATCGCATTTGGAATTTGATTCTGATATCCAGAGGCGATGTATAATCTGATGATTCTGATATCCTATAATAATATTTAACCTAATACGTATATCTATGTACAGGGCTAGTTTTATTCTTCTCATCTTCTTTGTTTTCTATCCGTTCGAGAAGATTCAAAACTGTTTTTTTTTTACGATATTTCATATGGATTTCAACCATATTGAGAGATTGTTGCAATATCTCTGCAAATATACAGGGTATACCGACATTTATCGATTTTTTTTATATGGAATGCACTGTATATTTTGATAGATGAAGGTCCTTCTATATATATGTTTGAAATCAGGATGATTTGGGGAATTCAAATTTATCGAAATATACAGGGCGTTTCAATTGAAAAATATATTTATTTCTGTATCCCTGTATATTTGAATAGATATTGCATCATTGTCAAAATGAGTGAGATCTGTGTGAAAAATTTTATCAAATCAGCTTTGAAATTTTTAGAATGGGTGGAAAACAAAAAAGATAGAGGGGGTTCACATTAATAAAACTAGCCCTTTACATATAATAAAGACGGAGATTGCTATAAACAGAAACAACATAAACATATTATATATTGTTATGATGGGAAATGTGCTTGAATATTTCAATTTCGAAATATGTACACTGCTTTCGTAAACTAGGTACTGAATAAATTAATTTTTGCCAACCTATCGATACAAAAAGAAATCTCGTAAAGCAGATTTCATCAATCTTAATTCACCACATTCATACGAGAAAATTGAATATACAGGGCGATCTCCGTTTGAGTAATAACGTCTGTGACAATTCTTTCAAATTGAACGCCCTATATATTATAGTTACATTTTGTAAATTTTCACTTCTCATTCATTGTTTCATCAGAGTTGTTTATAATATTGCATCAAATAAAGGAACATTCACTGATGTCTGCTCATATGGTTTAATTCACTGTACTTAAATAGGTACATTACCAGATTACCACAAGGTTTTGAATAAGCCACCAACAGAAATCAACCCTATTATAACTTATTACCGAGCTAATTACCTATGCAATGCAATTTTTCAGTATCACGAATTTCCATGTAGGTAGGTAAAATTGAGTTATCTAACAGCATCTGTATTATTTGCTGAAATGAAAACTTCCTAAAATATTCCAAACTTCCTCGAAACTTCCCAAACTTCCTCGAACTTCCCCAATGTTCCTAGAACTTCCCAAACTTCCTCGAACTTCCCCAAGCTTCCTCGAACTTCTCTACCTTCCTCGAACTTCCTCGAACTTCCTCGAACTTCCTCGAACTTCCTCGAACTTCCCCCAAACTTCCTCGAACTTCCTCGTGTCTGTACACCAAACTTCCCACGTGATTTACCCCTCGCATTACTACATCCAGTTTTTTCCTTTCGATGTTTTAATCCAATCGTAAATAAATCAGATTCATCAACAAATATTTTTTTCGGAAAGTGCAACTAGTATGTATATTGATCTTGCAATTCTGATATGGAAAGTAGGTAGTTAAAATAATGTATATGACGTATTGGTGGGTATTACAAATTTCATTTACGGGATTAAATTGGGCAGTTTTTAGTACCTACCGTGCTGTATGACATATTATTTTTCTCTACAAAACGGCATGAAAAGTTGCTTTTCTATGACACTTAAGAGGCAGCAAAGTTGTACTTTCTCTACCAAGATACAAAAAGTTTGTAATTTGAATGAAATTGGTAATCAAAATTGACACTGACATTGAATGAACACAAAATGATGGAGTTTTCAATAAAAAAATTACACTAAGTTGGTTTTATAACATTTGGAGAAAAATCACATGCCTGCCTACTTTGCTGCCTATAGTAAAACAAATAACTATTTACCCAACGCGATGACATTTGCCTACCCTCGAAAATTGAAAACGAACAATACAATATGCTGATCTGAGGATGGAAACAAGTAATACTTTCCTTCAAAACATATCATTTTTTTATTTATAGATAAACTTGCTGATGCTATGAAATCCGAATGCAGCAAATGTAGTGATAAGCAAAGAGAAGGGAGTAAGAAAGTTCTTCAGTTTTTATTGAAGAATAAGAGGGCTACTTTTGATGAAATAGAATCCAAGTATGATCCAGATGGGCTCTACCTGAAAAAATACAAAGATAAGTTAGCCGAAGAAGGAATTGTCGTTTAAAATTTTCTAAAGTTGCTCTACATTAATGATTATTGTGAATATTTATCAACTTATACAGGTATGTGATTCGTTGAATTCTCTTGAACCAAATAAATAATGTGATGTTAGAAGTAAGATTTTTCTTAACACTCACAGTGTACAGGCTACCGCACGAGACTCAAGATAACAGTGTAGTAAATGTTCTTGAAAGCCATATAGGTAATTAAATGGATTTTTGGAATGATGTATCTGTCAAAACCTGTGAAGTCCGAATTCTAGGGAATTTAAGGTTTGAACATTTCCACCATCTATGAAATTCAGCGCATCCATCACCAAATCATCATGTTCTTGGTAGCGACATCTAGTAGATATAATTTAAACCTCCTAACTCTACTATGAGAGATTTTGAACTAAAAAACTCGTAAGTCTGCAAGAGAGGATAGGGTTAAGTTGTGTTTGTTGAGAAAGTACAAATCTCTATTGTTTGATTCATTATTTGAACTGAAATCCATGTCAGACACCAAAGTAAATTTATGATGAACTATTTGGTCAATCTTCTCGAATATTTCTGCAGTGATACTTGTTTTGATTCTTATTCATGTGAACAGACTTACGAGGTTCTGTTCAGTAATTGAAATTATCTTAAAAGAAAGACTGTACTCCTACTTTGAAACGAGACTTTATTTCAGTGGGTCACAATATGGCTTCCGCATAAACAAATCCACAACTCAGGCTGCCTTCAGAATTGTGACAGACATAGTAGAGGGCCTCGACCAAGGTAGACATACTTCATTGACACTGTGTGATTTGACGAAGGCCTCTGACTGCGTATCGCACACTCTGCTCATTGAAAAATTAGAATACTACGGTATAAGGGGCATTGCCTTACAGCTGCTTCGTTCGTACCTCCACAACAGAATTCAGTGTGTGGAACTGAATGATGTTAAGTCTGATTACAAACTAATCGAACATGGGGTACCACATGGCTCGGTCCTTGGACCACTTTTATTCATCGTTTACATCAACGACTTATGTCAGTTTATTGCGCCTACCCAATGTGTCCTATTTGCCGATGATACAACTCTTGTATGCTCATAGAAAAATCATATACAGACCTTAATGCATCTGCATCAACAGAACTAATTTCAGCCAAAATCTGGTTCAATCAGAATAAACCCAAGCTCAATGAAAACAAAACTCAGAATTTATTGATTTCCTCGAATTCAAACTTTCAAGAGGGAAAAAGTGTGAAATTCCTAGGCCTCGCCATAGACGACAGACTGAGTTGGTTCAATCATGTTGATCATGTAGTACGAAAGTTATCCAGCGCTCTGTTTGTACTAAGACAATTGAAATGTATAACCAATCTTGGCATCTTAAGCCGAGTCATGTGGTAGGGTGGAGGAGTGGGGGTCATCCATCCTCTCCCGACTCCTACTAATTTCATATTTTTCATTATTTCATTCTGTACCTACTGTCATACGGTATCTTACTCTGGGGCAATTCAACAAATTCTATAACAGTTTTCAGATGTCAGAAGAAAGATATACGAATACTGGCAAACTTAGGCTATAGAGATCACTGTCACCAACATTTCATTAAGCTTGGTATCATGCCAATGCCTACCTTATACATATTCACAGTTTTGCTAGAAATACACCAAAATGTGAGTAAATTTGGTAAACAGTCTGACTTTCATAGTCATAATACAAGATCGGCTAATTTATTGAGAACCCCACGACACAGATTAGCTGTTAGCTGATGCAGAAACTCTTTAAATTTCAATATTTATAATATTCTCCACAGCTCCGTCAAAATGTTGGAATTCAAAAAATTCAAATCTGTCATCAAACAGTTCCTTTTGAGCCATTGTTTTTATAATATTGATACCTATATGGAGTCAGCAAGTTCACTGAAGCTTTAACCTGTCATTTATCAATCCCTCCAACAGGACATTGTTATTTTTATGTTTTGTTCTTATTTGGCATAGCCAGTAGTTGTTTTCTATTGAATGAACTGAAAAAGAGTTGATATTCTCATCACATAGAGAATGCGAATTCTCAATCTATTGCTTTATATAAATATATATATATATATATATATATCCATTTTTTGTATGTTCATAATTTATCTGAGAATATTCCTTTTCAATAGTATAGGCTTTGAGAATCTGAATATTTCAGATTTGTCTATATTCACGAGGAGACCTCGGCGAGTACAATATTATGAATTTTTCATTGTAGAAAAATCGGTCAATGGGTTCTAAATTCGGAGGGTGTTGCGATTTGGAAATTATTGAATACTTGCGTATTTCTATCTTGTAGTAAATGAGCTTTAAAAAACTGGTCAAAACACGGTAATTACTGAAAATCTCAGTTATGTTCTAGGAAAAATATAGCCAAACAAAAACAGAATTTTCAATTTTCTACAAAAATAGAGTTCATTAACTTTGTTCATCTTCATTCAGAATAATCACAAAATTTGCCAACTATATTGTCCTGAGTGATGAAGTAATTCATATCGTGGAAAATACGTCGAGTCATATTCACAACGTTCAATATCATATTAATAATTATGAAAGCAAGAAAATGTTTCGGATCTGTCGAGTGTCTATCATCAGCCAATAGGAATTATTATAGATGAGAAAAGAGTATAAAAGACTAAAAATTTGTTAAATGTTGAAAAACTATCAAATACGAAAATCCACATTATGTAGATTATAGATATATGAATCTGACATACTTTTGGCATAAAAGAATATTACTGATGGAAATACCGAGCATACATATGGTGGACTTTGTGTATATCAGCCATACTTCATCGACAGCGTTGATCTGTCTTTGCCGTGAGTTCCTAGTTTCCTAGTTTCCTGCATGGAAAGTACTGTCATAATATGCAACAATGGATAGGGCATTGATATAAAGTAGGAACAATGTTGATCCTTGTGGGACGTGAGAATTGATGTCTATGGTCACAGTATATTATCCTGTGAAAGGATAATATACTGTGCTATGGTACCAGACGATACTCCGCCCGATACCAAATGGCTGAAAGAAACCCAAGTTTCGAAACTTTTGGTATTTCTTTCGTTAAAACTCAATGTTTAATACAATTTAGTTGGCCAAAGAAACATACACAAATGTAAATTGATAATCTGGCTTGGGTGATGATGATTGGAAGTTTTACATATTGTATTATTTATGAAAACATTGAATGTTTGTATATGATAATTACTTATATTCAGATCAGATCTTGCTATTATTGTTGATCACTGAAATTTATAATTACTTCATCAAGATCAAATATATTAAAATGTTACTATGTACGGTCATTCTTTCAAGGGACTTTTCTTACATGAATAAGTATAGATATAATTCAAGGCTAATTATTCACGCAATTTGTGATAGTCATGTTTTATATATTATACTCATTTTATTTGAAGATAATTCTTGTTGTATTGGATCGGAATTATAGTTAGTAGCTATTGTTTTTTGTTTTCATCTACGATGCATTACTGTTTATCGTCATTAATTTCACCATTCATATTCTGGATGCGTCACAGGAAGGATTCATTGTTTTTTCCAAACTTCTATTAGTTCCATTATGGAAAGTCCGTTATTCTGATGTTGATGTTGATTCAATAAATGAAGAAGTAATGTTTGCTATTGACAATGACGATGAAATCTATTCACCATCGAACAACAACTAAAGACGCTTTTTATCGTTCATTGAGGAAGATATTTACAAAGTCTGTCCAAATTAGCGCCAACCAATTTTTCTTGTTCAAATTTCTTATATTGTCCATGAATTATCAGGAATCATTCCAAAATATAGAATCAAGAAACGCGATATAAATGGTTCCGTTAATAACTATGGCGGTTATAATTTTCATAAGGTCTAAATATAGTGTGTCTCACTTCTGATGGAAACATCTCTGATGTATCTTACGTATTCGTTGGGTAAAACTCCTGAAATTTGCTGAAGCGAGAGATATACCAAAAATGCACTATATGACCAAGTGGGGTCATCTTCAGTGATATACTGTTCGCAAACAACCATGGAACCACCCTAATTTCCGGAAAATTATATGAGGAGTCGAGATAGGTTGAAAATCAGTTCGGTTCGGAACCAGGACGCCCAATTCACTAACTATTCATATTTTTCCTGGAAAGTTTCCAGTTATGAAGATTTCATTTTTGACTCACTTTTCACATATCTCACGTAATCGTTGGGTTAGGATCCTGAAATTTGCTGGAGCGACAGATATACCAATATAATGCTCTATGACCAAGTATAGTCATCTTCAGTGATATACACTGCTCGCCAACAGCCATGGAACCACGGAAAATGATATCAGGAGGTAAAATGGGTTGAAAATCACTTCGGATGCGGAATGAGGAAGTCCAATTCACTAACTATTCTTTTTTTTTTTTAAACTCTACATAAACTGGTATTTTGTAAATGGAACACCGTGAATTTTATTTTCGTAGTCGGTAGCACTTTCTGCTGATTTCAAATATTTATACTTCATTGAGGTTATCATCAGTTTTTGAAAAATAAAGTTTTTAAGGCAGCTGAAGAACACTAGGAAATCGCAGCATTGTCGTATGGCGTTCAACACTTGCCTTACAGATTTATACCAAAACATCAACATTTTTCAAAAACTGACAAAAAAATAACTTGAATTTGATATGAGGAAAAAGATTTCCACCGTTTATAAAAATAAAATACTGGGAGTTTCATTCAAAAAATACCAGTTCAAGAATTTTCAGGTTCACGATGCTTTTTTGCATTTTTGCTAGTACTAGATTCTGAATGTCCATAAAAAATACTTCAGTTTAGCCCATTTCAATGTTTTTATGGAACCAATATTAACTGAAATAGCTATTGAGTGAATTATAAACAATTACCATGATTTACACCGCAAATTCATCGCATATTTTTTTCATTTTCGAATTTTTGTATACTTCGCGTTTGATTATGAATTATGAAGAAACTTGAAATAAGTACCTATCAGTCTGTAGTCTATTCAGACCTTTATAATTATTGTGCTAAATTCAGAAAGTGGATAAAATATTGTAGACTCATCGCAATTTGTCTTCCATACAGGGTGTATCTGAATGTTTTTTTTGTTGTTCTTAAATTGTTCTATCCGTCATTCGGTTGCCCCCTTACGAGCAACCCTCAGAAGTCTTCGAGAGTCTTGTGCGAGCAAGGAATGACGGGGGCCTTAAAATAGTAGGCCGATTTTTTTTTTCATTTGTTGGTAGGTAATGCATTTGTATTTAAAAAAAAGAGGTGAAGATTTCTTCAAAGCCTCCATGATAGCGGTGGAATAACTCGAACCATGATTTATTCTTAATTTTTGACTCACCCTGTGTGTTAATCGAGTAATGGTATACAAAGTGCTTACACCCTATACGAAAGAGGCTTCTTTTGCGAGCATTTTGTTTTTCCATTCATTGATTTATCTCTAAAATTTTCCGAATTCGATTCAAATCATTTTGTGTTCACCCAATATCAGTGTCAATTTTGATTATTAATTTCATCAGGATTCCTTGGAACGTTGCAAAGCAACAAACTTTTTTTGCCTAGGCAGTAAAAGTAGACCTTTTCTGCCTGTTAAGCGGCAGGAAAAAAACACTATCCCTGTCGCCTGGAGAAAAAACAACATTTTTCATGGAAATATTAATACCCTGTATCTCGCCCCTTGAAATTTTTCGGTGTTATTCCGATACACCCTGTATAAAACCCAGGAGCAGAGTAGGTATATCCGATAGTAGAGTTATTTTTTCTTGAAATATCTCGACAGAAAATTGCAAATGTTCAATTATTTCTTTGACGCATATTTTTTCCCAATCAAGTACTTTTTTATAATACTCGAGTACATAATATGAGGTCAGAATTCTCAGCAATTCAAATTGGATTTCTTGAGAGCTATTTTGGAGGAATGGTTTCAAAATATTCTGATTTGATTATCGGATATATGTTCTTTTTGATTCGAAATTTGTGTACCGACCTACAATAAATTTCAGAGGATTTTGACAATGCATTCTGGTATGAAATGAAGAACTACACTCTTTCTCTTATTTAAGGTAACTTCCTTCGTAGTTTGATTCAACAAAGAATAAAATTACCTTCTAAATCATGTTTATCCTTCTACGGAATCTCTATATGCAATCTCACAGTGTATAAATAGTCATGATTTCAATTTACTCTCAATAAAAAGTATAACAAAGGATAATAAATTAGATGCATATTAAATGCATAATTTCCTATGGTGATTGAATAATATGAACAAGAAACTGAAGAATTTATCACAATTACCTCCCACTTCCATTCCCCACATAAAACATATAAATCTTTCTCATTTGATTAATTTCCTCAAGACTTGGTACAGGCTAAAAAATCATGAACGCTTGTGGTATTTTCTTGGTATGTTTGGTGGGCTGTGTTTTGTCAAAGCCAGAGGATAAAAAATACACAACCAAATATGACAACGTTGATATTGATACAATTCTGAAGAGTGAAAGATTATTGAAGAACTATGTGCATTGTTTATTGGAAAAAGGAAATTGTACACCAGATGGGGCAGAATTGAAGAGTGAGTAATTTATTTGTTACATTCAAAATGTCTACCACATCTTTTTCATTATTATATCAAAATGCGTAGAGTCAATCTCGAAAAGTATCGAATATATTTTAAATTAATCATTGTAATTGGATGAAGTTCCGACCATCCAAAATCATCATTTCATTTTCAAAATAGGATGAATGATTTTCACATGTATCAATTTGATTTCAGAATCAAATGTATCGAATATTAATATCTGAATAACTCATCACAGTATTATATATATCCTGTGTAATTTCATTAAATGATGCTTCATCGAATAGTATTGCTTATTTTTGAAATCAACTTGACGCTTTCTGAAATACGAACCATTCACTTTGAAATTCTGATGATATTTTGAAGATTCCAATGATGCCTTTAGTGAGTAAATTGACTAATTCGAAATGAAATTGAAATCGATTTGAATTAATTCAATTGAAATGATTATTTGTGAGTTATTTGAACAATTGTTGATGAACTAACGTTGGAAAAGATCTATTTCAGTGATTTTTCTTCACATTAAGGCAAGAAAATATACATTTTCTTCTGATATAATGAATAGAATTTCAAATGTTGCGATTTGTATACGAATGATTCACAGAAGTTTTCGGTCAAACTTCATACTCCAATATGGCCCATAATTTTTTTAATTCCTATGTGAGGAAAACTTTACATAATGGCTCATTGAGAAGATTCAAAATATTTTTAATTTCTATGTAAGAAAGACTTTACATAATTGATGGCTCATTGCGAAGATTCAATACGGAACAACTCTTGAAAGAAAATGCATCCACCAAAATAATGTTTCCTTGATTATTCCACTATAATTTCAAAATACACGTTGATTGGTTCGAATATCTGTGTTGATAATAGAAAACACTACACACTGTGTTTTCGATTCAGTATTCCAGCAGCAGGCTGTTATGGAAATCATAATATTCTCATATTCAGGAACTCAACACAAAATCGTGATACTCACTATCAATTTGCATCGAAACGCCTAAAAATTTTGCATGATCACTATTCGAACACTTTTAATATCAACCCAAACCTAATAAACTCATGAGTAAATTGCTAATCTCCTGACCATAACAAAATTTCAAACCTGGCAATCCTTGGATTGATGGATGTATGTGCACAATAAACGGCTAGTGCTGTAACTTCTGACTCATTTGGGATCAGATTTTGAAAATTGGACTAATAGTCGTTTGAATCAACCCTATCTAACTCGATATCGTTGAATTCGTCATAATAATTCCTAACCGATTAAGGAATAAAATACAGGATGTCCCATTGAAAAATCAAAAGTTAGGGTCGTTTCTGGTGAGACCGGAAGTGATTGAACAAAAATTGTTTTGTCAATTGATGAACAATTTGGTATACTTGCTTCTCACCAATTTTCGAAATCTATTGAATGATTCAGAAGATTCAGCACTGGCTGTTTTTTGTGCACTTCTCTGTATGTATGCAGAACGCAACAACTGCATGTGAAAATACGAGATAAAATTATTGTTTCATCCATGAACTGATTAGTGTGATAATCTTAACAAATACAACTCGTTTCATTGATGATTATCGAAAATTCCTTATAATTTCCGACTCGCGCTATGCGCCCGTGTGGTTTTCAAGCAACATAATATATGTTTCTCAAAATCGAAGGGATATAGCTTATACAGGCTGATTCACGGTGGATGGCACATTAGATGTTTCTGGAGAACTCAACTCAGGATTATTCTGAAAACTTGATGCCTTGAATAATTAGTTGTGTTATATCGACCTAAAATAATCTCAGCGTTGCGACGTCGGCACTTATATTGAAAAGTAGCAACAACTTTGATTTTTTAAATGGGACACCCTGATTCTGAATCTGCTGATTTTTCATTCCGAAATCAAAATAATTCACTGAATGTGACAGATACCTACTTGTGAGCAGACATACTATTCATTCATTCCAAATATTTCGATTCAACATTCTGCTGAAATTGCTGACTATCAAGAGGTAGTTTGGTTAAGATGCGAAAGGAATGTCACATTCATTTCCGTTGTTTTTTATACATTGAGAGAACGACAATGCATTGAGTCTTGTCTAATCAATAATACATTAATAATATCATAGTCAATATCAGAAAATTCCTGTTATTGAAATATTTGACGCGGAGAAGAGAATGATATTCAAATTTCTGATGAAAACCATGAAAACGTTTTCCGAATCACAGCACTTTATTTCTATATTTTATATTTCGGAACACAGATTTTCAGCAGAGTCAGTGGATTTACTGATTAAACTGACGAGTTGAATTCGGAATATATATTAACAAAGATGAAATGTCAAACTTTCTTCCCGTCACAGAAAAAAAGTATATTACATACTCACTCACATTTTTTGATACACTGGGTTATATGAATTCATTTCATTTGCAGAACATTTGCCTGATGCACTTCTCACAGACTGTTCAAAATGCAGCGATGTTCAGAAGAACGGTAGCAAGAAGATCATAAGATATCTCATCGATAACAAGCCTGAATGGTACAAGGAGCTTGAGGCCAAATATGACCCAGAAGGAAGCTACAAAGCGAAGTACGACAAAGAACTCAAAGAAAAATCAGCCTAGTAATGAAACAAAATAGCTTCTCTTCTGTATCACTTATGTTCGTTCCGGAGTGATTACACATTTAGATGAAATTAGGCGTACGTTATTATTTTATACATATTATATTTTTTGTTTGGTACAAGTCGTTGTTTTTTCTTCATCATCAATAAAAGAAGTGAACTCATGATGCATGGTCATATTTTTACAAATTTTAATGAATAATGGAATCATGGCTTTCGAAGAAAATATTGAAATTTGAATTCACTGAATCACTGTGTGTGTGTAAAAATAGTTCTAATATAGATATAGTAATACTTATTATATAATCATTTCCAAAATATTCTATACTCACTACTCAGATATAACTAACTATAGGTCCTGCTTGAACCTGCTGTAGGATAGAAGAATGCTCAGAACATCTGATGACATTAACAACCAAAATGCGTGGAATGTCAGATGTTCTCGACATTCTACATTTTTTCTAGTCGTATTTCAGAACGCGTCAATTCATAGTTTCAGAAAGCATCAATTTTATTTCATAATAGTCAATTCAATTTCAGAAAGCGTCAATTGTATTTCAGAATAATCGATTGCATTTCAAAAAGTTGATTTCAAGTTTGAGTTCATTCACCCATAATAATGAAATCCACAACAAAAATGTACAATATTCTGCAATGTCGGGTAAATTGGTCGGGGTTCAACTAGGTTGATCTTCCACCACGCCATGAATAATAATAATAGTATTATACTTATATTGATATATAGATGATACATCTGGAGATAATAAATAAGAAACCAATGATATCGGCCAGAAAAGCCATGAGATAATCCTACGAACTGCAGTATTGATGAGAATATCATGATCAATCGTGTCAAATGCTTTAGAGAAGTCCAACAGTACCATACATGTTCAACAGAGTCACTTTGCTGTGGGTGCCTGGACACCAGGGGGTGGAGGGTAACGAGAAAGCCGACATCCTTGCCAAACAGGGAACCGAATCTGTGTTCATAGGACCAGAACCATATTTTGGGGTCACCGCAAGTGCGGCGAAAACAACTATCTCGGGCTGGGCGGAGGGAAAAACAGTCACGTACTGGTCTGAATTACCAGGATTAACCCATTCGAAGGCGTTCCTGCCTAAACCATCGGAAAAAATAACCAGACAGATCCTTGAATGGAGCAGGGGTAACCTGCGAATTCTGACTGTACTGCTTACGGGACACTGTCGTCTAAGATACCACCTGGGAAGGATGGGTCTGAACCAACAAACGGACTGTCGGTTCTGTTTTGTGGAAGACGAAACGGCTGAACACATATTATGCTCATGCTCTAGCATAGAAAGACTAAGGTTCGACACATTTGGCTTTACCAATTTAGAACCTATCGATTTCAGACAAATCTCACCCAATTCAACCATGAACTTTCTAAAAAGATGTGGATTGTACGGTGAACTGTAACCTCTATAGGGGTGAGCCACAATAGACCCATCTGGGGTCGCAGTGGAGGGGTGGTATTCGCCCCACTCACATGGAACCTAACCTAACCATACATGTTGCTTTTTCTTGATCTATACCTTCTTTGATTTTGTCAGTTATGCTGACTAAGGTTGTGCTAGTGCAACGTTTTTTCAGCCTGACTGATGACTATTTTCAAGATTATTTTTGGGATGAGGTAGGATGTCACTAGGGTATGGATGTGTCTTTCAATGATCTTGGATGCCACTGGTAGGTTACTTATCGGTCGTAATTCACTAAGAACAGTAGGATTATTAACTTTAGGTAAAAGTTTGATTTTTGCACGCTTCTATATCATGGGAAATTTGCTCGTATCTATTGGATAATTTATAATGTATTCCAGGGCCTTTATGGAATATGGCATACAATTTTTTATTGCTTTTATAGAAGATCCATCCAAACCTTCTGCTTCTGTTCTGATTTTGCCAATACCAGATATTATTTGATGACTTTGTACAGGACTGATAACAAAAAAATTATACCCAATTATATTAGGGTGTCTATTGGAGTTATGGAATTTAATGTATTCTCTTTTTCTGGATTATCATGAAGCTTAGCTGAAAATTGTGAATTAAGTGCATCGGGATCAAGTAATTCCTCTGGAACGTTATAGTTTAGTGTTGCCGTCTAGACTTATACATTCTAGACTCTTGTCTTATCTTGTCTAGAATATCAAGACAAGATCATCAATATGTCTTGTCTAGATTATCTAGACAAGACAAGACTTTTCATTTTCCATACAAGACTTTTATTCAAAACTCTTGATTATTTTCAAATCTATATTGAAAATACGTCGTTTCGCTGGCGCGGCTATGATTTGTTTTGATTGGTTCCCAGAGAGCGGGAGTTTGCATGCACTTGACTGTTTCTACGCAATTTAAGCTAAGCGTCTTATCTAGAGTCTTGAATAATAATCTAGACTTTCGTTATCTAGACAAGACCGCACTTAGCTTATTTAAGCAAGACTTACGCGTATACAACTCTTGTCTTGAAATTTCAAGACAAGACAAGAGTAGGTAAACTCTTGTCTTGTCTTGTCTAGATGGCAACACTATTATAGTTTGATGTATCTAATTGCTTATGAAACATATGGTCAGTAGGAGTTCTATATACCACGCATATCAAAGTTTTATGCTTCATTGTAGTTGTCGATATACATAATAATTCTAGGTGAACATCCAAATCAGTGCAATCAATCATAGATTTTGTATTGGAAAGGCTCCTTGATATTGAAGCCTACGCCTACGCCTCTACCCAGTCGATATTTTCCTACCAAATCATAACCAGGTATGTCATAACATTGGTTATAGTCGGATGGTACAAAATATTAATTGTATTTCAGAATAGTCAATCGAATTTCAGAAAGTGACCATTGAATCTTAAATGATTGTATTGACTATATTCTGAAATACAATTGACGCTTTATGACATTTATTTGACTATTCTGTAATACACCTAGTGACTATTCTGAAATACTTGACGTTTTCTGAAATACAACTGGAAAAGGTGTAGTACCTAGTAGGAAGGATTGAAAACGGCACATAATATGGTCATTCCATCAACCTTAAATGATATGAGAATATAATCAACTTTTCATTTTATGAAGCGCACGAGAAGGAATTCCTTCGAGGGTGTAGATTGAATCTTCTGGTCAAGAGTTTTCGACATATCTATATCTCGAGGATGACGATGAAACGAAAGGTTGTTGCTGACTGGGCTTGTCGAGTTTGTTACTATACAAAAGTGAAAGGTCGCCTACTGAATTAGTGAGTGTGGCATTACCAACTGAAATATATAGTTTCCTAAATGACTGACTCTAGCATGGATATCAGGACATACAGAGTACAAGGGCAATGGAAAGGCAGACTCACTTGCTTGAGCAGGAGCAAACAAAGCTCTGAATGGCCCAGAACCCTTTTGTGGTATTGCGAAATTTACACAAACACAAAAGACAAGTATCAAATCATGGATGCAAACCAAATCTCTACAATGGTGCAATAACTCGGCAGGAATGAGACAGGCAGAAGAGTTTATTGAAAAACTATCGCCAACATTCGCAGAATATTTACTGAGCCAGAAACGAAGTACAACTAGGATACTAGTGGGACTTCTCATAGGGCATCGTAGGCTCAACAAACACATGAGTACGATAGGTCTGACTGAAGAACTGCTGTGCAGGTTCTGAAAGGAAGCGAAGGAAACAGCAGTACACATACTTTGCCACTGTGAGGGCTTTCCAAGATTAACGTTTCCTACGCTGAATGAGGAAAGACCAAGAGCCCAAAGGTACACAGGGGATCTGAAAGATAGCCTATGAAGTCTCATGGAGAAGGCGGGGCTAGCCAAAGAACTCTAAACGATTTTGAGAGAAGACACAATAGATCTGGAAAGGTCGCGGTGTGGAGGCAGATGACCGAAGGCCCCACTCTGAATCTAATCTAATCTAACCTCAATATAAATATATTTTTTAATTGATAATTGAAAATTTTCATATCAAAACAGAACAGTACCCACAACAAAGTCTCACTTTCTGAGGATTTCCTGATGTTTTTCAACATCGAAATATAATGTTAAGAAGTACTCACCAAGTTTGAATGATTTGTAGATATAAATCAATCATAAATTGCGTTTCAAATGAAAATGGACCTAACCTAATTCGAATCAAACAAAGCAAACTTCTTCACCCTTATTCGCCTGGTAATATACTTCGTCAAATCTGTGGAGTAAAATTTACCTACCTATTTTGTGGAGTTACAAGAGTTAATATATACAGAATTTAACAAACTTCGGACGCAAATGAGTTTACTCCACAGAGTACGTATCCGAACGCACTCCTGATGGGATGAAATGGAAATTCTGGAAGAGAATACAAAGTGGAGAGCACTGTCATATGCGAAGCTGTGGATAGGGCAGGTGGTCACTACCAACAGATCATTGATATATGGAGTAGATACAATGTCGGTGCAGAATTGAAGATATGATACTCCGTCGACCTGATTCTTAACACGTATATATTCCTATAATTAGTCGTAAAAGCAAACAACGATCAAATATTGCAACGAATTTTTTATCATATCATTCTTCTGAAGAAACTGTCAAAAATGCATCTATTTCGAATGATGAAAAGAAAATGTTTCCACCAATAGTGATAGCGAAACAGAACTATACCAACTTGACAATTAAATCATATTTTATCATGTAAATCCTTGAATAAAATGATGTTGTGGTTGAAATAACCTCCACCTTGGTGTGACATTACAATAATATCTAACTTTTTCAAGTTCATAACTACCATTAGATGTTCTTCATAGATATAAACACAACTCCTTCATTTATATTGACAAAACATGTAATAACTGAGTGTTATTCCATGTTACCGTAATCATATCTATTTGTGCGTTTATACAGGGTGATTCATGAGGTATGTTTCATTTAGCCCATGGGACAATATAGGAGTAGAAGACCGATATTTTGGAAATTCTCTAGCGGCGTACCACTGTTGAGATATTGATGAAATAAACCTCTGGTGTACGCACTTCAATCCTTCCTTGTTTTACAAATTCCTTGATTTCCGCCAACTTTGATAAACATAACATGGGTGAATTTCGCTAAGTTTAGTCTGGTGTCGGACCAAAATTACAGGCATCAATGTGACAATAATTGTGACCGAGTTGTGATCAATGTAGATAGGAAATACATTATGCGATTTAGCCGCATCAAGGTTGGTAAAACTGATGCCATCTAACATTCAATATGTGAAACCCACGTCATCGTCTGAAATTCAATTTTTCAAATCAGAAATCTGAATTTTTGATCATCCTGTATCTGTTCTGATTAAATATCACTAAATAGTGAATCAAAAGTCGAGATAGAAACATTTGAGCCGTCTTGACCGATAATGAATAGTTTCGACACAAAAAAATCCTAAAGTTGAAAAATCTCGATTCTGAACACCCTATATCTATGTAATCATTCTCGATAGACCCCAAGTGTGATAAATCGATAAAATCAGCTTTGCAGGGAGAATATGAAAATGCGATAAAATACAGGGTGTTCTATTTGAAATACCAATGAAGCTACTACTTTCTAGTAAAAGCTAGCAACAACACATTGTATCATGGATTTTTCCCGAATGATTTTCGATGTAAAGATAGTGTAAGCTCGTCGTGACATACCCTGTATAGTTTTCCCAAAAATGAAAATGAAAATAAATGAAGCTACTTTGTTACCTATGTCTTTTATTATTTTGTATTATTTTTTTTTATGTTCTGGTTCCCACGAAAAGGGATATCCTGTAATGTTCAGAGAACATCGTGAGAACCAAGGGAAATAAGGTAGGAATTAGTGTTCTTCTCGAATTTCTGGAGATTATATGCCTCGGGAAACACCTCCCTTGGCCTCGCTGTTCGTTGGATAAACCAGTCTTTGGAAAGAGATGTTCTGCAGGTCTCCAAAGTGACCACGAAGGCGTGCGAAGCCTCAACTCGACAGGTTAATCTCGCGGGGACAGCCTATGGAGGAGCAATTGTTGATATTTCAGAAGAGCATCGTCCATGAAAATATCTATGAAATAGAGCCAGTTCGCCAACTTGTCTACGGTATTCCAGAGAAGTCAGTGAGTTTGTGAGCGAGGCATCACCCACCAGACGAATTGCCCTTTTTTGGACAGAATCCAACAGTTTCAGGGTATGTTTGGGTTTGCTGCACTCCAAATATGGGAACAGTATTCCAGGACAGGTCGGATCTGTGCCTTATAGATCATAAGCACCTGACTGGAATTGAAATAGCTCCAGGCCCGAAACAGAAAACCAAGTTTTTGGGATGCACTTTTAGCAATTGATCTCACGTGATTTTCTCAAGAAAGGTTATTGCTGATAGTAATACCAAGCATCGAAATGGATGTCTTCAAAGGTATAGTTACTCCTGACAGGCTTGTGTTGGGCACAGTGAGGTCGGCTTTCCTAGAGAAAAGGCATGCTTGTGTTCTGTTTGCATTGAAATCTACCAAGTTATTGGATCCCCATTCTAGAATTGTTGCCAAGTCCATATTTATGTTATCAACATTTCTTCCTCGTCTGTTCCTGATTTGCCTGACTGGTATTAGATCACAGGAAGAGACTGCGGTATGGAGGGTAATATCATCCGCGAAGCTGTGTACTGGACATGAAGTTGCTTCCAACAAATCGTTGATATGGAGTAGAAATAGTGTTGGTGCTATAATTGATCCTTGCGGAACACCGGCATTTATGATGAGAGAGTCAGATGATATTTTAAAATATTTATAATAATTTATGATTTGTTTTTCCTTGATCTCTATATGATGTGAGTAGATTGAATGTTTCTAATCCCTCCTTCAATTATTTTGCCAATACTTCCATTTACTTTCATATAGTTTGGATTCACTTTTTTATACTGGAAAAATGTTTCATTAACTTCACAAGCCTATGAAAAAGTCTCAAGAAATCAATTGATTCATATCGAAATCCATTTCACGCGGACCTGTCACCTTTATGAAACGATGCTTTTTCAAAATGAAAAACCATGAATGGGTCTTTCAGGCAAATGGCAGAACTATGGTAGAAAATAGAAATCATCAATTGCTTATAGTCGAATCAACATTCAAACAATTTCATTCTAGCGATCTTTGAAAAATGGGAGAACTCATTGATTCCACAATGCTGTGGAACAATGTTACCTATATTTTGATTCCACATAATTTCATTCGAAATTGGAATGCAACATGCGTATTAGGTGTGTGTATGATCTTTGGTATCAGTAATCCACAAATCGCCGATAACCCAGTGTTTGCTGGGGTACTGCATTATTCACTGCTATTTTCTTGTTCTCTTCAAAATGATGCTAATTAATGTTTACGTATTTGTCTTCCAATGAACAGTTTTTATTCAATTTCGTGAAACCCATCAACTTGTTTCGTCCTTGTACCTAAATTTAACATAATATACACGACAAGTACCAGAACATATATACCCATATAATTTCACATAATAATTGAATGTTTTAAATGGTCAGATTAAATACGAGGATGGATTACTAATTCTTGTACCAAAAACTAGGTATACCAATATCTAGAATCCTAGAAAGGCGTAGAGATTCCCAAATGAGCGTGAATCGTCGTCATAAATATACAGAGTGGAGAAGTTAACTGGAATAAATTCGCTAGCGGAGAGGTGGATTTTTTTTTTTCAAATATGCAATCAATATGAAAGATTAGGGGTAGCTGAAACCCCCCTCTACATGTTTTTATCGAATGCAACTCTATGGCTTGTGAGCCCCCTTTGAAAAGCTGGGAGAAAGACGAGTCCAGCGTACTGATACAAATTTTAGATTTTAGTAAGTACGTATGAGAGTTGCATAACATCGAAACGTGATTTTGAATTTTAATACATCGAGCGAATATTTGCCACAACTGATATTTGCCATTCATGCTAGTGTTAGTATTTTGAATGCCTCATTCACAGTTCGAAACGACGCTAAAAATCGATATTTTGACGAAAATACATTGAGAATATAGAGCTTCTGAGTTATGGTTTGATTTTATCAAACCCTCAAACCTATATTACAACCTAGAATCAGTACGCTGGATTCCTTTTCCAACCAGCTTTCCAATGCATTCAAAAAAGAAATTTTGAGGTCTGATTTCGGCTACCCCTGTCATGATTTTCATATTGCTTGCAAAATGTAAGTGAATACAATTAAATGTTGAAGTTTCTCGGGAAATTTCAGAAAACTCATTCACCTTCCAGCTAGCGAATTAATTCCAGTCAAAGTCTCCACCCTGTAAAGGTATAATTACAAAAAAGTTTTGCTTTTGAAAACAAATTCTGAGCAGGTAGCTTCTTCCATCAATAACCATCAGCGGAACATTATTTCTGAACTATCACTGTTTGACTTACATATTGTTATGAATAAAGAAGTTACACAGTCTGGAAGAGGGTATACACATTTTACGTAATATTGTGAATTTGCAACTATATAGAGTTATTGGATCCCCATTCGAGAACTGTTGCCAAGTCTATATTTATGTTGTCAACATTTCTTCCTCGTTCGTTTCTGATTTGCCTGGAAGAGAAGGCGGTATGGAGGGTACTATCATCCGTGAAGCTGTGTACTGGACATGAAGTTGCTAGCAGAGAACTTAGCTGGAGAAGCAAGCCATAAGATGGAAGCTTGGCGAGGAGTCCTTGGTGCCAGACTCGATCGAATGCCTTGGAGATATCAAGTGCCACGGCTACGGTTTCACCACCACGGCGAAGGTTTCACCAACGTTGCTATGGCAATGTAATCTCAGTATTTTTGAATTGTCAATAATGATAGAATAGATTTTCCAAAAATTCACCATTTTCGATATAACTCAATAATTCGAAATGGATTTGAAATTTTTTGACGCTTCCTGGAATTACCCTCTGAATGCACAACAGTTTTTCCCATTCAACCGAATTCGTATCTCCTAATGTTTCCGAATCCTAATGCTGTGCATATCTTGGTCGCCTCGCACTGTACTATAAGATGTTTATCATATAATCATCAGATCATATTCCAAGACAACAATAATTCATTATTGTCGTCATGAATTAATTTGTCCAAATAAATAACCTGTTAGTTTCATTACGACATTGAAAAATCAATCGTTGAACTCATCCGAACCTGACTGATCATCAAAGTGTTCGATATCGTATTTCCCCCCATCAAGTATGTCACAAACCAGGTGAGCAGACTTCTATAAATACGAAAAGTTGGAACATCTCTACCAGCATTTACGAAAAGATTCTGCGAACGATAATAATTATTGTCCAAGATGAAATGCGTAATTTTATTGTGTGTTGTGATAGCCTGTGCTTCCGTCAATGCTAGACCGGAGAATTCAAAGTACACCACCAAATACGATAACGTCGATTTAGACGCCATCATCAAGAATGACAGATTGCTGAGGAACTATGTCGACTGCCTTTTGGGGAAGAAGAAATGTACCAAAGACGGAGAGGAACTCAAAGGTAAGTTTCCAGCGAAACACGAAAATTATGAGAATACGAAAAGGTTGGGATCACCTAACAAAACTGTTCTCGATAATTTCGCGCTAATCATGCAATGGTTTCTTTTTTAATTTCCTAACCTAGGTATGTACGTATTTACGAAAGTGTAGAAAGGCCACTGTTGTGTGTATTTTATTTTATTTCCTTGTTCAGACTTTAAAATCTGAATTCAGACATGTCTCTCTGAATTCAGATTCATACTACACACCATGATGCAATTTTACTTTTTTGACAGGATTCAATTCTTTTATCTTCACACCTGACAATATAAGTACATCAGACTCGATCAGATTAGTCAATATTGAAGTTTGAAATGTCACTAATATCAGATTCAGAAATTGATGCAGAATTTGAAAATGCAATGATATAAAGGGTGGTCCTATGAAATATTCGAAAGTTATATGACTAGTTCCGGTGGGACACCCTGTATAATCGGAATCATTTTCAAATATCAAAATCTTGACTCAACTGATAACTGAGCTATAGAAGAAGGGATGTGGGATGCAAGACCCTGTATAAACTATACTCTCGCTTTTTATATATGGTATAAATATATTTGAATAAGCACAACAAAATGTCTGAATTCAGACTTAAAAGTCTGGATAAAGAAATGAAATAAAATACACACAACAGAGGCCTTTCTACGCTTTCGTACGTATTACCGTCTCAGAAACACGAATTTGATAATGAGAATGTCAACAAATCACTATTTATCAAGATATTCCACCAAAATGTTCGAAATTTTTCCGCCTGTCTTGGATACGCATTTATAACTATTTGCCCTTTATATGCCCTGCTTTTTCATCACTGTACAGGGTGGGCCAAATTCGATGGGATTTGGGGTTTTCTCTGAAACTATCAGTGCTAAACAAAAACCGACCACGGTGTCCTGAGCTTGATTTTAGTGAAAAAAACAATGGCGCAAACCGCGATTGTCTATCTTTTTTGGCTGCCGAACTACAGAGCGTTTTTGAGATTTTACCTTTTATTGGTGACGTCATTATCTCGATCACCATGAGTCCTGTCAAAAAATGAATAACACTTTCTCATAGCAATCTTTTGAGTTGAATTGGTAACTGATAAGAGCAAAATTATTCATCGAACAGTTTTCGAGATATGAACCTAATTTAATTTTTTCAAATGGGACACCCTGTAAATTATTTCACCATTCGATCATAATTTCAATTACCTTTCGAACGATATATCATATGCTATAGTTACTGTGGGAACAAGTGGTTGTTTTTCGAAAAATCTGATATGAGTCCATGAAAAACTGAAGAAAAATATAATAACTAACTAGCTTTATCAAATTCACAAATATTCACGTTTATTTGATAATTATCATTCGAAACTGTGAGAAAGTTCAAAATATTTAGTTCAACTGAGGTGCGAATTGTTTCCTATTGTCGTCTTCCAATTGCATTTCATTATGTTCCTTATACTTTTCAAGAAGGCCATGGAGAAATGACAACCATAATCCATTAATTATTATTGTCAACTGTGACGCTTATTCACAAAAAATGTTTCAATTTAGTAATGAAGAGAAATATGATATGCTCAAGTGTTTTATCGAAAGTGGAGAAGATGAAAACTACTTAGCTTCTGAACTTTATTTCAATAGGTGAGTGATAGAATAATCGACAGTGAAACGGTTGTCCAAAATTAACAGTCAAATCATCTTATAGATACCCAGATGATATATTAGGATTATCTCTGACAGTTTCTACGATTATATTTTGTGCAGCTTCTCTTTCTGGTTAATAATAAATTTTTGGGCGAGGTTTGACAAAAGATCCAAAATCTTTCAAATTTGACTGTAACCTTTTGAATATTTTTGGGTTTGGTTGTATTTTCTCTTGGCATCTATAAGATGATTTGACTGTTAATTTTGGACAACTGTTTCACTGTCGATTATTCTATCACTCACCTATTGAAATAAAGTTTAGAAGCTAAGTAGTTTTCATCTTCTCCACTTTCGATAAAACACTTGAGCATATCATATTTCTCTTCATTACCACAGTCATCACTAAATTGAACCATTTTTTGTGAATAAGCGTCACAGTTGACAATAATAATTAATGGATTATGGTTGTCATTTCTCCATGGCCTTCTTGAAAAGTATAAGGAACATAATGAAATGCAATTGGAAGACGACAATAGGAAACAATTCGCACCTCAGTTGAACTAAATATTTTGAACTTTCTCACAGTTTTGAATGATAATTATCAAATAAACGTGAATATTTGTGAATTTGATAAAGCTAGTTAGTTATTATATTTTTCTTCAGTTTTTCATGGACTCATATCAGATTTTTCGAAAAACAACCACTTGTTCCCAAAGTAACTATAGCATATGATATATCGTTCGAAAGGTAATTGAAATTATGATCGAATGGTGAAATAATTCACAGGGTGTCCCATTTGAAAAAATTAAATTAGGTTCATATCTCGAAAACTGTTCGATGAATAATTTTGCTCTTATCAGTTACCAATTCAACTCAAAAGATTGCTATGAGAAAGTGTTATTCATTTTTTGACAGGACTCACGCTGATCGAGATAATGACGTCACCAATAAAAGGTAAAATCTCAAAAACGCTCTGTAGTTCGGCAGCCAAAAAAGATAGACAATCGCGGTTTGCGCCATTGTTTTTTTCACGAAAATCAAGCTCAGGACACCGTGGTCGGTTTTTGTTCAGCACTGATAGTTTCAGAGAAAACCCCAAATCCCATCGAATTTGGCCCACCCTGTACAATTTCAATAACATGATGTTTTTCAATGAAGCATATCGAATATGAAAATCGACTAGAAATATGATTTTCTCGCGATTTTTCCATATTTGGTGAATAAACAACAATCACACCAGCTGACAGCCATTCTGCCATTCAATCATCAAGATCTGAAAATCCATATCAAAGTTTCAACCTTTAAAGTGGGAAGAAAGATTGAAGAAGGAAAAATATCAATTGAAATAATGTGTATAACGTTCTTCAAAAGCAACTTTATGTTTATGTTCTTTCACAATATGTTGACATTTGACTTCTATTTGACATCTCAAATTGAATGGCCCTCAGATGGTATGAATATGAAAAACTCACCACAAAATCATATTTCGTATTGATTGATATAAAATGCGTCTTTGAAGAATATATATCCATATAAAATGTCCAATAACAAAATATGATTGATATAAAGCCGTGAATGCGTATCCAAGACTGGCGGAAAAAGAGGGTGAAATTTAGATTTTTTCGTGAGATATCTCGATAGATAGTGGTTTAATCACATTTTCATTATCAAATTCGTGTTTCCGAGACAAAAAGTCGTAGGTAACAAAAACATTTTTGAAATAACTCATCGCATGTGCAGAAGCGCCATGCTTTCAAACCAACTGCAAAGAAAAAATAATAGGTCAAAATTGATCAAAAAATAATGATGTAGAACTATCTGATCAACAATTATAATAAAAATAATTATATTTCGGACTAGATTGGAAATTTCAATAATTTTTACGACGAAACATCTTTTGTTCCTTGAGTCATTGTTTGAAATGACTGTTATCTCTTGCCAATTCAGACTTCGATCGTGTGTTGCACTGATTTTTCAAGGAGTAACTGATAGGTGTAACAGAGTATAACCAGCCTGCAAAATCGTTTACTCTGTTATAACTTTGACTACATTTTACGCTATCAAAAATCATTGGGGTGCAATTTGAAACAACCAAAATATGAAGTGGTTTGTAGTAGATTGTTTGACACTATCTTGAAGAGCTTTTGTTCCAATGAATTACACAGTTTCTTAAAATGTTTTGTATGTTAGATAACCCCATCTGCTGGCCTGAAAGCTATGGGACACCCGGTATATCGTCACGCCGGAGAAAATTTAGCCATGTTACCAATATATTCTTGTTTAAACAATACATTCAATCTCTTCTTGAAATTCTCCAAAGTATATTCTTCTAGTTTCGAGAGGAGATGTTGGCACTTGCGTTTATATACCAGAAGTGAACATCAACTTTGTTATTTTGAATGGAAAGCTATATTTTTCATTGCTTTTACAGATTCCTCATGTTATTTCCAGCTAAACTTTCGTTTACCTAAGTATATTCGTTTATAAGATCTGGAAAAGCGATGAAAAATATAGCTTTCCATTTAAAATAAAGAAGTTAATGCCCACTTCCGGAAGTTCTTTTCAAATACATATCGTTGAGTCTTTTTCAGTTTTCAGTATATTAGCAACGTAGCACTTTTGGAAATAAATTAATTTTTTCAACACGAAATTGTTGAATTTCGGAGCTCATTTCAAACGTACCGTTATGACCACTATTTGGCGATACGTCGAATAAATGGTGACGTCAGCTTTTCGTTATTTGTCAGATTATCTTCCATTCCCATTCACGAAGCAAGGTTGTCAAGTCACCAATTATAATCGAGTTATCAAAAAGAAGTAAGAGTCCTGTAGTTGAATAAAACATAATAGGTGGAATCCATGGCATTATAGTTCATTCTTGAGTCTTTCGAGCAACCAGCATGGCCATAATATATACTCCATACTCCATAACAAAATTGCATGTAAATTTTGGAGACTTGGCAATATTGTGCTGAATGCTGAGAAAATACAAGACCACTCACACAAATCGTGCACGTGGTGTTGTCACATCCACCGCTTCAAATGTCCTCTAGTGTGAATTAATATAATGAATCTTCACACAAATGTATTATGAATAATAAGCCACAAATCATAAGGGAATATTTTGAGACAATTATTTTTGTATTGCTGAATAGGAATTTTACTAATACACAATTGGCAATTTATGAATTTTTGAATAACTAATATTTCTGAAGTTCCCAATCGTACTTCAACATGTCCTGTGCTATGGTCTGTACCTACTTACGAAATCGTGACGTCAGTTTTAATTCGCGGTGAATATCCATCCGTTTGAAAATTACCGTGGTCATTATTGATGATTGTAGCACCTAAACATCGACCGAAAAATTCTAAAAATATATGAAATCGGAAGGTATTTGAGTGATGAATCTATTTGAGAAATGAAAAAAACGTTGGCCCACTCGCCTACGGCGGTGATGTCACAATCGCTAGTGCAAGTGAATAACTTTGGCCAACAAGATTAATCTCACTTCAAATTTGATTCTGATGAATACTTTTATTGAAGGTGTCATTCGATGATATACCCTGAGCCTTCTTGATAGGATGGATTTAAATTATTTGTAAATAGGAAAATAGCTGGATTTATTCGAATAATGATGATGACCTTCATTCTTCCAGGTATTCTTCCTGATGCCCTGAAGAACAAGTGTGCCAAGTGCAGTGATTTCCAGAAGGAGGGAGCCAAAAAAATGGTACACCATTTGATCGAAGACCACAGAGCGTGGTGGGACGAACTTGAAGCAGTTTATGATCCTGAAGGTACTTACAGAAAGAACTATGAAGCAGATGCAAAGAAAGAAGGAATATCGCTCAAATAAAGAAAATACTATTTAGTGGAGAGGCCAGAGATCAATAATTATTCAACAAGTCGTCACATTTAAAATTCAATTCCTGATTATTTTTATAATAACAAAAATAATTACAGTGATGAAACATAACAATGTCACGAATATTTGACTAGCGAAAAAATACCTCATCTTATACCTGTTATTGATATGTGACCACAAGGTCAGTGATCTGTGAGTTGTATCTCTTATTGAATAAAGGTATGTATTTATTGAGTAGATGTTTTATCTTTATGAATTCTGATTATTTTGCTACTACTTGTATAGTTTATCCGATGTCAATTGGAGCGCCTCGAGCTGCACATACACTCACTTCAAAAAGAACTACACACGGGTGAACCGAAGTCCTGAAATGGTCAAAAATCTTGTTAACTATTCATCAGGATGTCTTCTAAAATTCACTGTTCAATTCGATGTGGTGAAATGGTAATTTCACCAGTTTTTCAAGGGTTTTTTCTACTGAATATTTATGAGAAGTGTCATTCGACAATATCTTATTGACAATTTGCAAAGAACAATTTCAATTTTCATGTTGCAAACACTACTGCAGGTTAGTTACCAAAGTCGAAAGAAATATTAGTGAACATTTCATAAAATTATTTTCAACCAATTAGAAGGCTTCTTTTTGTTCACTTTGCTTGATGATTTTGTTAGTTCCTATTAACTGAATGGAATTAATTAGTGCGATAATTATTCTGTCAAAAATTAAGAGCTTTATATCTATTGGCGGAAGTCACTCAGTTCCATTTGAAACTATGTATATAGACATGTAACGAAGGAAAGGGGATAATGTCCCATTTGTGAATACCAAACGTGCCGCGATCCGGACTATGTTTACATGAACTTTTCGTCTTATATAGGTTCATCATAATAATCGTCCCTAGAAGTTTGACCACATACTCAAAAAACACCCTGTAAATCCAAATAAATCTGTATAACCTACTGTTACGATTTCTAATTTCTTCGAGATTTTGCTTCTGCGAATTACATTTTGTTCATATTAGCAGCCTACTCAGCAACTCAGCCTCTATATAGAGTGTTCAATTTCGAAAAAGATCTTTGTTACGATTTCAGTGGAATTTGATGCCAAGGTATTATTTTGAATAATTAGAAAACTATCAAAATCTCGTCCTTCAGTTATAATGGGACGGTAGAGTCGGCACCGTGTAGTTCTGGAACGAAGAAATGACTGTTTGTAGTCCCATATATACGGTATAGACATTGATCGAGTATCGGTTGTTTTCCTCAAAAATGTGGCGTATGTGCTTTATCCAAGATGGCCGCACGAACTATATAAAATTCAGTATATTTCATTCCAGAGTGCCCATACGGGAAATTGATTATTATTTATTCATAATAAATGGAGGAAGAAAATAGTTCCGTAGCTATTTTCCGATAATTATGTCGGTTTCTGAGTTATAGGCCATCAAACTTTTAAACAACAGTTTGCAACACATTTCTTGGCAACAGAGATTATTCGTTATAGATGCCAGACAGTTGTTTCTGACCTACCAGAACTCATCAGTAGTAATTATTCTCTGATAAATACTCACACAGTTCACACTGTCCATGTGTCCATGCAATATATCTTCCCTAGCTCTATAGGTACCGCAGACTTTCAAACCGTTTTTTATTTCTGCAAATGATGTCAATCCGATATTTATCAGTTGATTGTCTAGATATATTTATCATGTCATCTAGTTTATTGAATATCGTAGGAGACATCGAACAGGTGCATATTCATGGGGTAGGTATTTGTTAGAGCACTTAATATTATTATTATTACGTTCATTATACATTATATTACAGATACAAAGCTCCACGTAGGAATTATTCAGTAAAACTATCTCCTTCTTACATCAAATATATAAATACATATATTTTTGTGACAAAGAGACATAATATAGAGATAGGAAGATCGTTAATGTATTATTGTTTATATATTCTTGTCATTTATGACGGCATTATTGGTTTGATCTCGTCATAAAAACCATACGCCACACATTCAGAGTAAACACCCGGTATCACATCATTGTTTATAATATAAACAAGTTATTGAATAGGGTCTTTTCTTTGCTTCACAAAAAATCCTACGAAATATTTCAATCCATGTTATGCTTCTGATGCACTAGTCAAATACTTTGAACGAGAGAACTAGAGAACGTCTTTTTACAAAAGATTTATTTGTTTTACAAAATGCAGATCGACTGTCTCTGACAAGAGTCACAATAAGAATGAATGAAATGGTGAGAAGTAGATTCGCTCTCAGAGGTTCGAATTGAGAGAGTTCCTGGTATACTGCTTGATCGGCGAAGCTGCATCAGCATCTTCCATGAGAACGACAAGAACGATCGCTACATAACTCACTACAATGACAAATAATGACACATAGGCAAAACGACAAAAAAAAACAGATCAAACTTCCAATCTTAAGGAAGTGGTTTTTGGTTAGTAGTTAAACAGTGTATTGTGAGAATCATGCCACAGGTTCCTATATATACAAGATCTAAACACACTCGTGCCAATAGGCCAGTTTTCTAGTGTTTGAGAGTTATGAGACAAATAATCTTTTTCGTCCTCACTACTATGTTGAAATACTACTCAAATATATTGTGATTCGTAGAAATGAAGCAAAAAAACATGGAATCAACACTTGAATTATCTTATTATCTTATAAGTTCATAACCTATCAGAAAACTCCAACTTAACCTCAGTGATGTCCTCAGTAACAATAACTTCACGGTTTTTAAGATCTTTAAACTATTATATGAAGATGTTGAATTTTCATGTTCCAGGCATATAATGAGCGTTTCATGTTAATTTTTGTTATCGATAAATATTATCGAAAATATAACCTATTAAAAGTTAAGAACTACAAAAAATATCTTCCGATTTGGATCTTCCATCATTTCTATTACAAAATTGGAGTCGGAGTGTTTTTGTAGGCCGTAAATGATGCTATCGAGAATGCGTTTGTTACAACCAATATACAGTACTATTGAACATGAAACCTTTCTCATTATCTTGCAAAATGTAAATTGGAATTACATACTTGTTCTGGTCTTCAGATTCGATATGAACTTGTTCATCATCAACAAGAGTATGATCCATGGTTGAACCAAAGTTCACAGAATTAAAAATATAACCGACACTCTGGTCAAAGTTTACAGAATTATTATATTTTTAATTCTGTATACTTTGCCCTGGTGAAGAAACACCATAGGTAGCTAGGTATATAGCTACCTAATGAGTATAGGTACGTTCGCCAAACGTCTAACTCTAGATTATTATTTTTAAATGGACGCATTAGGAAAATCCCACCAAATTCCATTGTCGTACATTATTTTTATTCACAATAATATCTAGCATTTCCAATTAGTATATGATGCAAATAAGGAAACTTGAAATATTTTTGTTATTTTTATATGAACTAACTTACACCATTCTTCAACTTCAAGTGGTATATAATCGAAAGTCAATGAGCTCTTCTGAAAAAATACTATTCCAGAAAGATTGTATCAACATTGTGTCTTTTGGAAGAAGGCAATTCCAGAAATTGATTCATCGCAATGTCACATAGATCACTTGCAGAAAGTTGCGGAACTGATTATGATATGATTTACTGAATTGAATTGGCTATCATTTGAAACCATATAAATGTAATTTTATCATTATACTAACGTCTTTGAAGGTTGGGAAGTGTCACATTACACATCTCTATTTCAAAATATGATGGTTGTAAATAAAATACAAAACAAACCTCGGTAGGAAGTTGCATTCCTGTCTCGAGATCATATAGAGAACCACAACGCTTTGCGACTTGCGTCTCGGTTAACTAACTAATCTCACGATAGGAATGAATCTCTTCCCACCTCGGTGTGTAATATACTATTACTTGATAAAAATTATTACTTAGCTGAGTTTCTGCCTTATTGGTAATGTGATTTTTTTTCTCTAGTCTTGATAATTTATTTGCGAATCTGGATATAACTTACTGTCTCATCCTCTCTGGCCTAAGAGGGAATTAGTGTAGTCGAGTCGTATTCAAAGTAAAGTACCTACCTACCTATACTTATATAGCACAAGTTGTAATTCATTATTTACGCGCTAACACCTGCCGCTCTTGAGGTTTCATTTGTCATGTTTCTACAGTTCTTGTAATGTATAGTAGGTAGGAAAATCTACTATTCCAAAATAAATCTCATCCAAATCTCAAAAGCATTAGGTTCGATAACAAATATTGTTTTATCCGTGTATTTTGCAATACAAACATGGCAGTGTGGCTATAGTACCTAAGTATATGTAGGTTTGAAAGACCCTATTAAAATTATGAATGTTACGCTACTGGTTGCATTAAGTACACCCTATGTTTAATGGAGACGACGATTTGTTAACATTAAGTAGGATTACATTAAAGCTGCCCTCTCATTGACCGATTTCCATCTAGGTTTCAATAAATATAGAAGGATATATTGCTAACTATTCAGTATCACAATTTCTTGCGAAGCATATCATAATGAAGATGATAATGATTTTGTTTGCCCTTCTTGGGGTGTGTGCTGCCAAATATACCACGATGTACGACAACATTGATATTGAACAGATTTTGAGAACACAGAGGTTGCTGAAAAGATACGTGGATTGTTTGAAAGGCATTCCTAACACTTGCACCAAGGAAGGACTCAAATTGAAAGGTAAATAAAATCACTACTAACCCGAGAAATCACCAGTATTCAAGGATCTCCACAAATGAGAAGTAACAAATGTTCAACCTAATAATGAGGAAGAATTTTCACCTAAGTGAATAATAAATGACTGTCAGAAGTACAATTGATATATGCAGTAGTATACACATACGTAGGTACCGATAGCTATATGGAAGCAATGAAAATTGAAACATTCATTGTTTACCCAAACGTGTACCTACCAAAAAACTGAAAAATTACCACAGCTGAAAGCAATTTTTGAAGTCGTAATAGCTATTTGTGTATCTAGTGCGCGAAATGCTACTTCAGTGGTTGAGTACTGATTTTTTCAACGAGGCGCAGCCGAGTAAAAAAATATTCGAGATGACCAAAGTATTTTGCGCACAATTTGCAAACAACATTTTTTCTACAAACGTCAATAAATATAGTGATGAACTGATATAAAATGCCTTAATTATTGATAAACATTCAGAAATAAATGATTTCTTGGATGTTTGCTCGATTGAAGACCGTAAAGTTTGAATACAAAAATGTCATATAGTTTACATACAATGCGGGAAGTATGTACTTCGCGCATCGTTGTAATTCGCGCACTGCTTCTTACATGGTGTCGTGGTATCGTAGGAAACTGAAAGAAAGTGTGATTACAGTGATTTTTTCGAGATGGATCTGCAGATGACATCATATCGACAAAAAAATTAACACCTCTTGAATGATCTAGAAATAGTCAACAATATTGTAGGAGTGGATGGAGGCCACAGGAATGGTTCAAAAAAATGTGCTAATATATAGGGCATTCCATTTAAAAAAAGTGATCCTGAACCTCTAGATTTTTCCCGATGCGGCAATAATGTCTAGTTACCGGACCTTGTTGTCTCATTGACATTCTTTTTGAATCAAGTTTCTAGCTATCATAGAACTCGAGCAACCGAGCTCCGACGACCCACCCTGTATACAGGGTGTTGCGACCGACAACGCTTGACAGGTGATAGCTCTCGTGATTTCATAATCACTGAGATAGGGACATGCGGTCTTCAAGTGTTCAGTTCTCGAGATATTGGGCGTTAAAGTTGAGAAAAAATAATGTTTCCATCTTTGAATGGGTGATTTTTTGACCAGGAATCCATTCCGGACATTTTATCCAGTGGTGCCCTACAAGGGGTTGTGACAACTTTTCCTCTCATATTTTCTACGCCACTGATTAAAATTTCGATTATTTCCAATTCCTCGAATTCATTGTTCAATTTTGTTAAAAAAATCCATCACCTGCAACTGAGCCGAACAGTTTTCGAGATATTCGACCCAAAATGAAAGATTGCATAGTAATATTTCACCATTTTCAGTAGTAGAAAATTGCAAAAATATTTTTCTGGTGTGTGAGTAGATTAGATACTATTCAGATCTCATTCTGTAGCTGAACAGAAATAATTATTCCACGCTTAAAGATAATACAAAAATAAGTTTTTATATTCTACTACTGAGGAAGATGGAAAATTACTATATGCAAACTTCTATTTTGGGTCAAATATCTCGATAACTGTTCATTTTAGCTCAGTTGAAGGAGATGCATTTTTTCAACATAATTGAACAATCAATTCGAGGAATTGGAGATGATCGAAATTTCAACAGTGGCATAGGAAATATGGGAGCAAAAGTTATCACAACCCTCTGTAGCGCACCTCTGGATAAAATTCTCGAAATATGTTTCCGGTCAAAAAATTAATCATTGAAAGATGAAACCATGTACCGAATTTGAATGCATTGTATTCAATTTTTCTTGAGATATTGCGAAAAAACTATTCTAATTTCTTATAACTCCAACGCCCTGTATCTCGAGAACTGTGATGAAGACCGTATGTCCCTATCTCAGTGATTATGAAATCACGAGGGCTATCACCTGTTAAGCGTTGTCGGTCGAATTTCGCAACATACTGTATATGGAACATCGCAAAATGATAAAGGAATAGTCTCAGTAATAAAGGGTATCTTGAAGCGCATGACAAATATTTCAGAGATCTATATAGGAGGAAAATATGTTCATGACTGGCAAACGTTTATACCGTAGTCGTACGGATATTTGGTATGCTTACCAAGGTGATCTGACAAATTCAGACAAAATACTTCAGTAAACGCATGTTTATCTGTATCTTTAGTTGACTAACGTTACCAACTTGTTTCTAATTATTAATATGAGATTAGGTTGTGGTACTTCACTTGAATACGAAGATAATTAAGAATACCGTTCAGCAAGATTCAGAATTAGCTGAAATTGGATGGAATATTGTTTTGCAGAATCATAAAACAAACGACACTTGCCCCCAAATGAAGTCAAGGCTGTACAAAGGTAGATTAAAATTCACATCGTCTTGGTCAACATACTATTTTGGTCTGGTACGCAACAGATTTCGGTAACAAACCAAGCTGGTATAAAAAATAACTTCACAAAGTGGACAGTTCATACCACAGTAACCAAGAGTATTTAGTTAGCAGTTAGCTAACCAAGACATGGTTTAAATGTGACCACTGTATGTTCCAAAAGTGACCAATAGAATCTACACTTTTATCACCCAAAAACTGTTACAGTTCAAACATAATACAAATAGATATAATACACGGATCATGGATGCTTTATATTTAATATCACGATGTGTGAAAGCATATTTAGATTATTTAGTTTCAGTGCCCCAAATGTGTGGGAAAAATTAAATTGGAGAAAATAGCGGTAAATTTGAATTCACATCAAACCATTCATACCTTATTATTACTACAGCAAATGAGCATGAAAGTAATCAAAAATAATCAATGTGAAATATATTTTTTCTGAAAAACTTGACTCCCTCTATCTCGAAAACGAGGCAAGATATGCCATATGTTTATAAAAAAAACGTTTCTCTTTCTCAGAGTTTCTGAATAGTATATTCTATGAACATACCTGGCGAATACACCAAGAATATTCGAAAAATACATTCTGAGATCATTCCTGAATAACTTTCATACAATATTACGGAATATTCTAGGAACGTTCCTAGGATATTCAGATGAAATGTTCTATGAATATTCTCGTAAAACATTCTATATGAACATTCAGAACATCCTCATCATATTCCATGAATAATCATAGGAATATTCTGAAGGAGGTATATGTTGTGAAACTTGTGAGAACATACATATAGAATATTTATGAATACCTATATTACAAAGTTTCCAAAATATATTCGAAATACTATTCGTATATTCTATTAGGAAGATGATGATTTTTCACAACATATGCATGAGAAAATCCTTCAACGACCTGAATATCTTTCAGAAAAAAACGTTGATAGACGCTTTCATACCTCAAAATGACGCGAGAAAATTTACCATAATATTTTTCGAGGATTTTTAGTCATTATCCGTACTTATTTTTTTGCAGAGTTACTGCCAGATGCATTGCTCCACAATTGTAAAGAATGCAGTGATAATCAGAAGAAGGGAATTACGAGAGTTTCCATCTACTTGATGAACTGTCACCCGAAGTGGTGGTCCGATCTTGAGAAAATTCACGACCCACAGGGTTCATACAAGGCCAGTTATCAGGACACTTTGAAGGCTCAAGGTGCATCAACACCAAAGGAAACCAAGTGCTATCATTGATATTCCCCCATGCTTCTAAATATCACGATTAGGCCAATCGAATTGTGATTTCAAATCTTATACATGTTAATATAATCTATTTATTATAAATGATTGTACAAAGTATTCGTATTTCGTGCAGAATAATTTATTCAAAATTTTCGTAGCAAATCGCAAAATGTAAAAACTCCACAAACGATAATATTTCCACAAAATTCTTGAACACACAACATGTTTCGCTAACATGCTAACACTGTAGCTTTGTCAGCTGATACAGGCTGATATATTGGTACAACCCAGCGAGCACAAACATCCCTGGGATGTTTTGGGATGTTTTGAAAATGTTGGCATGAAGATGTTGTTTTGAGACGTAATATGCACTGACCAAAGAGGTCTTTGAAGGATATTGAAGTATTGTTTTTGTTCTTCTGTGGCATTTCTTTGTTTGCCTACTGAGAGGTATCCCTGGGATGTTTTGGGATGTTTCAGAAATGTAGGCATGAGGATGTTTTTTTGAGGCGTAATATGCACTTCCCAAAGAGGTCTTAGACCCTAATAACACACGTTATCCAGACGACATCCATTTTATATCCATTTGCCGTCCAAGACATCCATGGACGCCAAATGGAACTATCGTTTGATGTACATTATTGTATATCCAGCTGATGATCTAGTATGTACTCCATCTGGAAGCCTATCTATGTCCATGGACGCACATCGAATAGCCACTTGGATGTCCATACCGGATACTTGGCAGTACATATTGGACATCCATAAGTGTATTGTCGGGATGTCCATTGTAGCGAGAAATTTTGAGAAGTTTGAAATGAGAAGAAGAAGATCTGAATTCATCTGTCAGAATTCGAAACATAATATAGGTTATGTTCATTTCATTCATCCATTTATTTGGTGGACTTTCATGATAATTACTAGTATTTTATAGTTGAATTATGCCCCAGTTTCCTGCTTTAAACGGCCGTCATACAAGTAAGTTCTTATTATTTCTGTTCCTAATTGCGAATTGTTACGATAACATAACATATTTCTTGGATAGGTAGGTAAAATACCCTCCACCAGAATGAACAGAAGGAAAAGGATTTGAAACAGGTTCTTCCGACGTATCTACTATAAAGTAGAAAAAAATTCATCGTATGTTGACAAACTCTTGAATGATACGACAACAGATGATGAGTGGGCAAGAATCACTGACAATTTCGCAGTTTGAGGAATTTTCATCTTGGGGCCAATTATCTTGCTCATCGACCTAAACTGACGATAAAAATTTATGGAACACCTTTTTCACTACATGTGGCTCTTGCATGATGAGGCTCCACCACATTACACTCTGAATGTCCATTGCTGTTTCATTCAACAGTTTTCAGATAATAAGTAGATGAAACGGCAGAGGAAATATACTATAGTTTATGGGGAGCAGTACCTATAAATTTCAAGGTGTACTTCAGACCAGTAAATAATGAACAGGAATTATGGAGACAGATTCAGAATGCATTGAATATTTTCAAAAACAATGCAGAAACAATGCAAAATATGCATTTCAGTTTTTGTGCTGCCAGTGCATTGGACCACTTCTTTTCCAATTTATCATCCTAAGTAGGTACTATCTATTTTTTTATCATATTATATACTTTACGTTTCACCCATGAACAATGTTTGAAATAAAAGAAAATAACATAACCTGTCTTTTGAATACGTATAGGTTGGTATATATGACCAATATATGGACACCATATGGATGTCCATAATGGACACCAAATGGATGTCCATAATGGACACCAAATGGATGTCCATAATGGACACCAAATGGATGTCCATCATGGATAACGTATGTATGTCCTAAAATGTGGAAAGCTGATTGCCTATGGACATCCATAGGATGTCCTGTGTACACAAAGTGGTTATCCTATGGATGTCCAGGGTGTCCGGGAGAGGATATCCATTGGATGTCCAATGGATGAAGGTGTGTTATTAGGGGAAGGATATTGAAAGTATTGTTTTTGTTCTTTTGTGCCCTTTCTGTGTTTGCCCCACCACAACGTCTCATGCTTACGTCACAATACGATGAATTCTGATTTGTTTTCGATTTTGTTCTTCTTGTTCGCAATAAAAGTACGAATTTATCAATACACAGCTTCTCCGCAGTTGCAAAATTATGCATCGTGGAGAACATTTCAAAAATTGGGAAACTTATTTCCAATTATATGTCTGTGTGTAGTAAGCACTAATCAGAAACCGATTGAGCAGGTGATTTCATATCAAGAAAATATTTTTATGTTCAATCTATTTTTAATGCATTTTTTCATTCAAGGGAAATGGAATCCTAATGCGAAAGTTCATTTTACCAAAAGGCTTCAGAAAAGTACCTCGAAAATGTTTTTTTTATAGCGATTTAATGTGCGCAAGACGCGTTGAAAATGTTCTGTTGTGTCCATGAAAAGGCTTTAAAAAGAACTAGGGAGAAAGTAGTTTTGTGACATATCAAGGACATCTCGATAATTGCCGCCTGCGGCGGACATTGGCTGTTCTATAATAGTTCTATTCATGTGTGAACAGAACATCGAAGTGGAGGATCAATGTCTCGAAATCTCGTACTTTTAACATATCTGAGATGTTATTGTGCTCGCTGGGAATGAACTAAACCAACGTTGGCTTGCCTAACTTTTATATTCCTATCCGACTTCCCAACTTGAAGAATTAGTTAACTGTGGACAAGTTCGATAAACCTTCATTTTCGGAAATTAGGCACAATATCTACATCAAAATAGGGTGTACCGAATTAACTTGAAAGGGTTGATAGCAAATAAATATCAGTACCTACCAAGAAAACAAATTCAACAGTCGTGAACTATTGAGGTCTAATTGATCGTTAAGTATAATGTAAAAATTTTTTAGTTTGTTGATTTCTAATGATTCAAAATGATTGAGTTTCATTCCTTCATTTTTTACGTGTAGAATTTCGAAATTATCATCAAAACTATGGTTTTCTTCTAATATATGCGGTTGGCGTATGTTGAATTTGTTTCCTTGATTATATCTTTTATAATAATTATAAAACAGATTGCAGTCAACAACGGATACAACGTTGATTTGAAAGACAGTATTATTTGGAAAAACTTCATAATAAAGCTACTCAAGAAGTTTATCCTACCATCATGAATAATAATCAAAATTATATAGAACTTTGACCTATTTCGGATCATAAACTGAAAAATTTGTTTCATTCTACAAAAATAGGACTTGAGAGTAGCGTATAGAACAATTAACACGTTGGGAAGGTTTATCAAAAATAATAATATAATAATAATAACTTAATTTCCAATTCTCGAATACAAAAATAACAGGGTCAAACAAACCATATATAATGCATAAAAATTGTAACTCTAAAATACTACTGGTATCTACAGCAAATGGAAATTTTAAGTTGCAATGGAAATAAATATGTACCAAAACAAAATCACCATTATGGTTGAGTGTGATTTAACCTTGTTCATTTCTTCTCATAGTTCATCGGTATTTTTCGTATCAATCATCTGGTGTATCCGAAGTCTTGATATTTGATTCAGCCGTTCATTAATTTTGATTTTCAGTTTATTTTTGGGATAGATATCCACTTTCATACTTTGTGGCAGTTCATTGTATATGACGCAACTAATATAATGTAAACTCCTTTGTCCAATGGTTTTCCTGCATCCAAAAACAGGAACCAATTGGTTTCGAATATTATAGGAACGGAGAGTATTTTCTCTGCAATTATTATAGTTCCTCAACATACGAATTGTGATAGTACGTGCAAACATTTGTGTGTGTCGAATATTTTCATTTCATCATATAATTTTTCAGTGGAATAGGTGATGCCTTTTTTCAATATTATTTTCAAAATCCATTTTCGGGTAATTGTTAATTTCTGCAAGAGAATGTTATTCACCCCGCCCCAAGCTGCAATGCCATACGAAATGTGTGATTGCACAAGCGCATAGTACGACAAAAGACAAAACTTTAAAATTCGACAAATCAGGGGAGAACATGAGATGAATTTTTTGAAAAAGGAAACAAATTCAACATACGCCAACCATATGTATATTGAAAGGAAACCATAGTTTTGATGATAATTTCGAAATTCTACACGTAGAAAATAAAGGAATTGAACTCAATCATTTTGAATCATGAGAAATCAACAAACTCAAAAATTTTTACATTTTACTTAACGATCAATTAGACCTCAATAGTTCACGACTGTTGAATTCGTTTCCTTAGAAGGTAATAATATTTATTTGCTATTAGTTCATTATACCAGTATATCACCTGACGAAGCTACTGTGTTAGCGAAACATGTTGTGTGTTTAGGAATTTTGTGTAAATCTTATCGTTTGTGAAGTTTTCACATCTTTAATCATAGTCAGTGCGTATACCTACGAGTAATAACTTTTAGCTCCTGAAAAGTATTGAAAAGTTAAATCGCATAAATATTAATATTTTGAAGAAACTAGTGAAAGTGAGGCTACTTACTCATCAGGTTGACAAGAAAATTTTCCATTGTAATATCCTTGATCCTTCTTAGTAATGTGATCATTATAGCTATAATTACGGTACAAACAGATTAATATTTTTTCCGAATTGGGATACCTACTTGAAAGATTACATTCCTTAACCAGCTATCATGGGTGGGTTAATAGTGTCTTGTTGAAGTGAACTTGATAATTGACAGAGGGTACCTACCTACTGAATTAATGAATGGAATTTAAGAAGTTGACCATGAAGAGTATCAAAGTTTCATAAAAATTTATAGAAAAGCAATGATGGTAATATAAAAATTGCGAACATGAATAACAATATCCCTGAACTGGTCTAATATGAGAGTGAGGGACTTGTTGGATGAGTTCTACTTCAATATCGCCTTCAATTAGGCAGGCCTCAACTGTCAATAATTAGAGGTTAACGGGAAATGTTCTAACTTCTGATCTGATGCAGTTCGAAATGATTATGTTGAAGATAGTTCTTTCTGATGATTTC